TAGGATGAACAGACCGGAAGGCGATGCCCGCTGATGACCTGTGGGGGGGGGAGCGCAGGAAAAAGGTATTGAGGGTAAAGGGGGGAACACTGGTTTAAACTGCCTTATTAGTTGCAATCTATTGTCTTTGCAAAGCTATAAAAACAAAGCTGAGAAATCTTGTTGGTGTGGAGCGTCCCAAAACTTTTTGGGTTGCTGCCCACCCAGTGGCTTCACTTGGCCAAATAAAGTGCTGTTTTCTTTTTAAGAGCCTCTGCCTGAATTCCTGGTTTTGGATTTTCTGAGATTCATGTCTATGAACCTTACACAATTTACAATCACAAAGAAAAAATATCACATAATCCCCATACAAAAAAGAAATGCATTGAACAAAAATTACAGGAACTTAACATATGACATTTTGTACAGTACCTGGCCTGCAAAACTAACACATCCAATTGATTTCAGCAGGTCTACTTTAAGTAGGACTACCATATTCAATCTACTAAAATCCAGACCATGAGTTAGTAGCAAGGTACTAGTTTTCTATAGTTCTTTATTACCATCTAGTGACTACCCAGATTTTTGCTGCACAGATATATGGTAGCTCTATATTTGAAATCTAAATCACAATAGATTTCAGAACTTAACAATAAATGGCTCGCCTGTATTTCAAAGATAATATGTTTAAACAACTTCAATGGGAACTTTGACAGAAGAGGATTATGGAAAAAGGAGGAAAAAGATTTCCATTCTCTAGAAAAACCAGTTATATCAGGTTCCCTGTTTCATCATAGTATCAAATGATTGCACCTTACATGACAAAAATAAAATACTTCATTCAGCTTACAGTTTCTTTAGTCAGCATAATTAGAATATACTACTTAGGTTATCATGGTGCTTAAAGGACCAAGCTATATTCCATTCTGTTAAGTACCTTTTAATGATAGGGTCCATAAACCACCTGAATTTGGCTTATCAATATTTGGTTGTGTACTGCACCAGAGACTCCAAGCTTTCTTTTCCCAGCTAAGAATTCAACTATTATTTCCTTATAAATGGCATCAGCATAAGATAATATTAGGTAACAGTGTATATAAATGCAAGCTCTGTCAATCAGTGTAGCTTTAAAAACAAGCTATAAAAAAAAGTGAATGCTTTTAATCTGGAGATCCAAATATAGTGCTAATATGTCACTCCCCACAAATGGTGAAGCTGTTGCACTCATGCACACAGAGTAAGTTTACACATCATGTAAATCTGTTGTTTATCCAATAATGGTGTATTAAGTAAAGCATAATGGGTTAGCTTCACCAGACATGCTAAGCCAAAGAGCATAGCTTACAATTCATAAAGGTTGACTCCACACCAAATGTGGAGCGGTTTCAAGAAAGCTCTTCCGTATGCAGAGTGTTATTTATACATTGCTGATTAAATTGTTAATTTGTCTTGTATTAGAGCTCCATACAAAAAAATAAAAAACATGAATATGTATTTTAGAAATGGGTATCATGCATTGCTAATTCTAAAGCACAATGAAAAAATACAAGATAAATTACATAAAATGATTCTTACCTATAGGATATCCCAGTGCAAAGTCATTGCTCTGAGTAGCAAAAATAGGAAACAGTCCAGCTTTGCTAAATCGCTTTTCAGGAGTGACTATCAACAATGTTAATGCACAGACTAAGAAGAACACTGATGCTTTGGCAACCAGGATGCTGTATAGAAAGGACCAATTCACATTGGAAAAATTCAGCAAGACCATATTTTTGAACAGTAAAGCTGGGAGTGCAAAGCGGGAGACAAAATTTCCTAATCCTTTGGCCTGAGTTGATGTAATTATGTTAACTCTTCCAGCTATATATCCACAAAGGATAATGCCAAAGCATTGTAACAAAGCTGGAAAAAGCTTACTTATTGACATCGAAGAATTACTGCTAAAATTCAGTTGATCCTCAAATTTGCCAGATGCAAGACCAGACATATTAGTTGCAGAAAATATATTCTTTGTGTTGATGTGCGTAAAAATACCCATGTTTGTCACTTCTGAAAATTTGGAAAGTAGAACCTGATCTGTAAAAGAGGAAAGGCAATGTTACTCAACCATTCTGAGCTGATACTGCATTCCGTAATTTTGTCTAGTGCACTTCCGACATGTCTAATCAATAGCCACTTTCATATCATGTTGAATAGTTATCAGGAGATGCGGAATACTGACTCTTCCTTGAAAACAAAAAACAAACTGGATGATGTCAGGATGATGGCGGAAAGTAACTGAACTGCTTGTAGATAAACTGGTATGGTTAATACAGATCTGGATAGATCTGAATTCCTGTTGCTAGAAAAAGTGAAAATTCTTATAGAAAATGTGTGGATTCCAACAAGTAGGCATTAGAGTATGGTTAATTTTATAAAGAAATTATTATATTATAAACTTATAAAGAAATTATAACGAAATTACTAGCCTAGAAACCAGGACACTGTGAGTTCTAGGTCTGCCTTGACCAAATTAAAAAAAAAAGCAGGATAAAAATCTAAGAAGAAGAACCAGGACTCCCTTTCCATAGAGCATTATGCCCATATTGGCTGGACTAGTGTTGCAGCAGCACAGAATAACTGTGACCATGTCTGCTTACCTTGTTTAAGATGACTATTTAATTTAGGAATCCAGTGAATTTAGATTTAATTTAGGTAACCATTGAAATATTATGCCAGGAAGTGTGAAATTTAAGTACACACACCTCAGAAAGGGCAGGAATTTTTATCACACACACAAAAAGATCTGCTATCAAAGATAGCTTTGTCAAAGAAGGTATACTGACTGGACTTGCAAAGTAAAATCTCAGCAACAGGAAGTGATGTCGCCTCATGTTAGTGTTTTCTTACAATCTAGGGACATGAGGGTTTTTAAAAATAAAAAATAAGAGACGGAGCTTATTTTTGAACTTCCTGTTTTTGAAAAACAAGTAAACCATCTGCCATCTAATTTTCTAAACTGAGGACTGAACAAAATTCTATCTCGATGCAAGAGAGGGAAAAAATACAAATATAAATTTGAAGATACTTCAATTTTACTTAAAAGTGTATAGTGGTCACCACCAGACAATTAAGCCATTAAAATTACTTATGTCATTGGGTAATTACAAGTGAAATGAGTAAGTAATTGCAATAGGATGGCTGTCATTTTGCCCCTGTTGACCTGTATCATTCTTAAGGAACAAGCAGATTCTGGAAGCTGGAGAGAAGCCATGGGGGACCAAAATGGGTGACAACTGAAAAAAAACCCATCCATTTTAATTAAAATCCTGAATTTCTTCTGATATTTATGCCATGTACAAAAAACAAATTACTCAATGCCACTGTATCATGAGAGCAGTTCAGTGTAGTGGTTAAAGGCACTAGATCAGGAACTGGAAGACTGTGGGCACGAAGCCAGCTGGGCGACTTTGGGCCACTCACACTCTCTCAGCCCTAGGAAGACGCCGGCAAGCTACTTCCAAAAATGTTGCCAAGAAAACTGCAGGGGCTTGTTCTAATGGCTTATTCTCTGAGATTCTAATGGTTACCAACGCCAGTAGAAGCAATACCAGCATTTCGACTTCCTGAATGTTGTGAAGCATTGAACATTAATCGAATTAGTCAACTAAATCGCTACAATCCCATTGATTTAGAAACGCATCCAGCCCGGGGTTGCGGCTTAGGCGGAGAGGACCCCCCCACCCCACGCTCACACGCCCGCGGCGAGCGGCAACCGAAGAGCTCGTGCCACCCCGGTGGGCCCACCCTGCAGCCAATAGGATCGCGCTTACGAGGCAGGGGAACGTATCGGAGGCGAGTTTGAGTCGATTTGCACCCGGGACGACGGCGCCGCTCGCTGCTAAACCTGCAGGAGAGGCGCGGGCAAGTTCAGGACTCCCTCAGAGCGCCAAGCGGACTCGCCCCCTTCCCTGCTCCAGGCTGTCCCTGGGCAAGCAGAAGCCACACGGAGCAGACCCCTTACAAGGCAACATCCTGCTAAACAATCCCCCCCTTCCGCCTGTTAGCTCCAAGAGGGCTGCAAGCCCTTCCCCTGGCCAATGTCCAGTCCGCGGACAGCAGCCCAAGCGTGGCCCCGAGGAAGAAGGCTGAGAGCCTCTCCGCACCCACCGCCTCGCCTCTGGAGAGGCTTCATTCGGGCCGGCTGGGAAGCCGGCTAGTCCTGGCCTGCCCCGGAGAGCCTGCCCGCTTCCCAGGTCCCCGCAACAGCTGCCGCCCGGCTTCCAAGGTGAGCCACGCGGCACGGAGAGCGACGCTCTGCGGCGGCTG